ATCTCTATGCCATGACAGTTAAGATATTAGTGTCAGTACATAAGCGGAGATGATATTTGGGGTTAAAATCTATGCACCCTGGCAGACTATCTCCCTCATCCACGTTTCTGACCCACGCACATACAATCTAGGATTCATATGACGTCATAAGAGATGATGCAGACACGTGACGTCAGAAGTAACGACCTAGTTAAGGGAAATACCCGACGGGCGATGACACCTTTTCACCCTTTGCTAAAATGGCCAGAATACTTGGTGAATTCACACATTGGGTCCAGTTACGTCAAACAGACCAGGATGTATTGACAGAGTATTTTTTCACCTGTAGATTTTGCGGAACAGCAACCGCTAGAAGCAGAGACTAGCAAGAAGCTTATCGACTTGCGTGCAGATTGATAGACCAGCTAAGGCTATAGTACAGCAGCTATCGTTCCTGAAATGATTTACCAGGGTTTTCTCTTATTATGCATAGTGTTCCGGGCTGGCTCATACCCCTCCGGCTGGTGCACAGCAAAACTTCAAGCGAGCTGATAGGACTATTCCACCAAATTTCAGATGGATGAATATCACGTTCTTAATCCCCAGTATGCGGGCATGTTTACAGTGTGTTGTGAAAGGGTAAACAGATAAGACAAGGCAAGTAAGTGAATCATTGGTGACAAAATGCTTGTGGCGCCATGTATGTGTAAGAAGCAACCAGTATGCTAAAGTTATAGTGAATATTGAATGCGTATTATACCATCCCAGCACAAAGGGTTACTCCGTATGGTAAGGCGATTGCCAAACGTTTGCAACATTAGCTCACCCCGCAGGGATTCCCAGACTGTTTTAGCTGCGACCCCTACAAGTTACATCGATGCATTCTCGACCCACAATCCCAGCAACACAATTGGAACTGTTATCAGTATTACAAGATCACTAGTGTGAAGTACTTTTCACAGCAAAAAAAAAAAAAAAAAATGTAAACACAAGAAAGCATGCATACATAACTTGGCTGTATGATGCATTATCGAGCATCGGACAGGCCGAACACCGCTGACAAGTAATAGACACGTTTGGACGGTTAGAGGGAGGCAGAGGAGGGGAAGGAGGAAGAAAGAGGAGAGGTTGCAAGATTCGCGACCCTTCAAATGACTTGGCGATCCCTCTGGACGTGGGAAGCCCCACTTTGAGAACCTCTGCCATAGAGGAAACAGGCTGTTAGCCACCCAAGCTGCGATTGTGCATAAGGCATTAAAGTTTTGAGATTGCTCATAGATATAGCCAATTAGAAGAAATTCCGCCTCCGTGTATGTTGTATAGCCATGCGGTGCGTTCGTGGCTGCATTGTGACCGTGTCCCGCGTCACACACAGTCGTACGTCGTGCGGCGGGGCCCACGCCGCGCCTCTTGATCTGAGTGTGAACGATCTCGTCAAGTTAATAAAGAAGAATGGTTCCCAACGGATTCCTCTCCTCGCTCTATTTGGTGTCCTCCCTTCTCCTCCCCTCCGCCAGGAACGTTAAGGTGCGGGTGTTGTAGTCGCCAGCACATGTAGAACTTTACAGTACTGTAACAGGGAAGCATTTTCATTCGACTCACTATCGCCTATAATTTCTGCTCACACGCACATACACATTGGCGTACATGGCGCATAAGTCGTCCCTTGAAATTGTAATTCAGGTTTAGGCCTTCATTCGCAGCTATTACACACACACGCATTCACACACTCACACACACATATATTATATACATATATATATATATATATATATATATATATATATATATATATATATATCGGTATATCAGACAATTTTAAGGCACTTTTCTTCTAAAAAAAAAATTGTCGTAGAGTAAACCACCTTAACCTAACCTTAACGAACCCAGCTACCTTATTACTTAAATCATATTACTATCTTGCCAAACATATGGTTTGGCAAGAGAGGGCTGGGAAGTGCTGTATATTGGCCTGTTTACGCCTTAGTGGTAAAGGGTCATGTGTGCCTACATAGATTGGCAGACAGATGGATATATATAGATATATAGACAAAGAGACGGACACACAGAGAGACAGACAGAAAGACAAAAAAATAAAGGTAAATAAATGGAAATATGGATATATATGTGTATATATTCATGTATATGTATATGTATTATATGTATATACATACTTATACAGGCTATATATATATATATGCATACATACACACATGTATATCTTTTTATGTATATATTCTTATATATGTATATATGTATGTATACATATATATGTATATAGACATATATATGTGTATATATATATGGAGAGAGGGAGGGGGAGAGAGAGAAACTATATATATGTATATATATACATATACATATATATACAGATACATATATATGTATATATATACATATATATGCACACACACACTCACTCATATATATCTATATCTATCAATATATCTATCTATCTATATATATATATACATATGTATATATATAGGCAGATATGTATATATACATAAACATATATACATATATATATATAATGTATATATGTGTGTGTGTGTGTGTGTGTTTAAGTATATGTGTGTGCGTGTGTATGTGCACACACTCACACACATATATCTTGTTAATTCAGTGAATGTCTCTTGTATTATTCATAATCGTGATTATACAAACTGCAACTTCTGAATTCCTTAAGTGCTTTTTATGCAACATACTTTCTCCGGGAAATCCTTTCCCTGCCAGGCTTTTTGCACAAATTATAAACGGAAAACACACAGAGGGCAAAGAGATTAAATTAATTTGAATTAATTTCACACTTGTTTTCTCCTTGTCTTGACAAATGACAACGTAAATGACAGTTTCGTCACCGTGGTAACACTTTGTGAGGAAGGAATATATCTATATCTATATCTTTATATCTATATCTCTCTATATATGTGTGTGTGAGTGTGAGTGTGCTTACCTAATTGTTCTTACCTAGTTTCAGTACGGGAGAAGAGCTAACTCAGATGGTCCCGTCGCTATATTTGAAATGTCATATAACTTTTTTAAATTGAAGTGCTTTTTAGCACGCAGCGTTATTTGGAAGATTATTCCATGTTTCAACAGTTCTGTTTGGGAAACTGAACTTCTTGACATCTTTCTCGCCTCTTTTTATTTTCATTTTTGTTGTTATTGTGTCCTCTCGCCCTTCTTGTGTCCATCTTTGTCTAACTTCAGCCTTCCTGTAATATAGTTGAACATCATTATCATGTCAGCTCTTTTGCTTCTTTCTTCCATAGTGAGACCTATTTCTGTAGTCTTTTTTCGTAGCTCATATCTCTTAGAGCAGGTGTCCATCTCGTGGCTGATCTTTGAACACTTTCTAGTTTATCTATATCCTTGTTTAAGTGAGGACTCCATACCACTTCACCATACTCAAGACTAAGTCTTAAGATGGCTGCAATGACCATGTCTTCGTCCACATACACGAATGCTCTCTTTATGTTGACAATCAGTCCTTGCATTTTATGAACCTTGTCATTTATATGATCATTTGGCCTTAGGTTTCTGTTTATGATTATCCCAAGGTCCTTTTCTCTATTACGTCCCGTAACTTGTATTGGTATAGTGAACGATTTTTAGTTTCTTCGAACTTGACTATTTGGCACTTATTGGTGTTAAATTCCATTTTCCATGTACATCTCCAAATGAATGTGTGTGTATGTTTAAACATATACATATACATATTTACAGAGAGAGAGAGAAAGAGAGCAATGCTCTTCAAGGACAATACAATTAGGATTACAAGAATCGACAACAGCACAAAGGAGAGCGCGACGCCAGGCCAATATAAGGCCCCTGGCGCTTCCTCGCGGCTCAGTCTCGGCGCCGACGTCCTCCTCAGGCTGTGCTTCTGTAAGTAGACATGCGGAGATATGTGTTTGTTTATGCAGACATATTTGTGTACAGTGCAGTTATATTTATATATTCATACAAGTTTATACACATATATTGCGTGTGTGTATATATATATGATCATATGCATAATACACAATTATAAACGGAAAACACACAGAGGGCAAAGAGATTAAATTAATTTGAATTAATTTCACACTTGTTTTCTCCTTGTCTTGACAAATGACAACGTAAATGACAGTTTCGTCACCGTGGTAACACTTTGTAAGGAAGGAATATATCTATATCTATATCTGTATATCTATATCTCTCTATATATGTGTGTGTGTGAGTGTGAGTGTGCTTACCTAATTGTTCTTACCTAGTTTCAGTACGGGAGAAGAGCTAACTCAGATGGTCCCGTCGCTATATTTGAAATGTCATATAACTTTTTTAAATTGAAGTGCTTTTTAGCACGCAGCGTTATTTGGAAGATTATTCCATGTTTCAACAGTTCTGTTTGGGAAACTGAACTTCTTGACATCTTTCTCGCCTCTTTTTATTTTCATTTTTGTTGTTATTGTGTCCTCTCGCCCTTCTTGTGTTCATCTTTGTCTAACTTCAGCCTTCCTGTAATATAGTTGAACATCATTATCATGTCAGCTCTTTTGCTTCTTTCTTCCATAGTGAGACCTATTTCTGTAGTCTTTTTTCGTAGCTCATATCTCTTAGAGCAGGTGTCCATCTCGTGGCTGATCTTTGAACACTTTCTAGTTTATCTATATCCTTGTTTAAGTGAGGACTCCATACCACTTCACCATACTCAAGACTAAGTCTTAAGATGGCTGCAATGACCATGTCTTCGTCCACATACACGAATGCTCTCTTTATGTTGACAATCAGTCCTTGCATTTTATGAACCTTGTCATTTATATGATCATTTGGCCTTAGGTTTCTGTTTATGATTATCCCAAGGTCCTTTTCTCTATTACGTCCCGTAACTTGTATTGGTATAGTGAACGATTTTTAGTTTCTTCGAACTTGACTATTTGGCATTTATTGGTGTTAAATTCCATTTTCCATGTACATCTCCAAATGAATGTGTGTGTATGTATAAACATATACATATACATATTTACAGAGAGAGAGAGAGAGAGCAAGAGAGCAATGCTCTTCAAGGACAATACAATTAGGATTACAAGAATCGACAACAGCGCAAAGGAGAGCGCGACGCCAGGCCGATATAAGGCCCCTGGCGCTTCCTCGCGGCTCAGTCTCGGCGCCGACGTCCTCCTCAGGCTGTGCTTCTGTAAGTAGACATGCGGAGATATGTGTTTGTTTATGCAGACATATTTGTGTACAGTGCAGTTATATTTATATATTCATACAAGTTTATACACATATATTGCGTGTGTGTATATATATATGATCATATGCATATTCATATCTACACACATATATATTCCCAGGTGAAACAGAGACGCTACTAGCTGGCGGTATTTGCCCATCGGTTCCCTCACCATCAGTTTTCATCCACCTAACACGTCATCAATTCTCTCTCACAAAAGTCTAAAATCTTCACAAATCTCTAAATCCTCTACAATCCTGCTACTAATAACATGACTCACAAAAACGCTTATTCTGTGGGTGTGACACTGGCTTCCTTAAGATGGCATTAATCATCGGCTCACTGTGAGACACAATGACTGACCATTGCAAAGGGGTTAGTGCCCGTCGTTGAATATCCTTGAGCATTTCTCATTTACTTAATATCACTACATTGTACATTTACTTAATATCACTCCGTTATTTTGGTATATATAACAATATGGAAGTTAAGAAAGCCATAACTTTTAATTTGGAGCGGTTGGCACTCCTGGCCTGTTTTGATGATGTATTAACTTATATATTAGAGGGAGTGAAGCCAGAGGATAAATGTGGATCTGAAGGCAGTCCGTGGTTGACTTGAAGAGTTCTGTTGCAAGAATTGCAACAGAACTGGTACTGCATAGGATCTTGCCCTTCCCTTGGGTACGTCAGTGATGTAAAGAGGGGGACCTGCTGCATGGGCAACATCACTTTGTTACTGGCCTGCACATGTCCCATTATGAGAGTGACAAGTATCGCTGTTCTTCCTCAGAGCCCCGTTAAGATGAGCCCAACGGCAATAGTAAGCTTGCTGTTCCTGGTGGCCTTGGCGACAACCGGAGCCTTCGCTGGCAACGAGACCGTCCTGGCGGGCTTCCCGGCCCTGGGCCATCGCTTCCGCAACTGCCACGAGGTGCAGCAGGCCATCGCCGGCAGCGCCGACGGCGTGTACGTGATCTTCCCGTACGACTGCTGCCCCGAGCGGCCCGTGCGCGTGTGGTGCGACATGACGAGCGACGGCGGCGGCTGGACGCTGATCCAGCGGCGCGACGACTACGCTGAGCAGGAGGACTTCTTCCGGACGTGGACCGAGTACGTCCTCGGCTTCGGCAACGTGGCCAAGGACCACTGGCTCGGCCTCGACCACATCCACGCACTCACGAGCCAGAGCCTGAGCCAGATCCGCTTCGACCTGGCCGACTTCGAGGGCGAGTCCCGCTGGGCCAAGTACGACTTCTTCTACGTGCACGACAAAAGCAACTCCTACAAGCTCGAAGTGAACTCCTACAGCGGCGACGCCGGAGACTCTGTCACTGGCCACAGCGGGAATAGATTTTCCACCAAGGATCGCGACCATGACCTGGCGGATTTAAACTGCGCACAATCGTAAGCATTTTCTGAACAGGCATTACAGGCATTATCATTGTTATTATCATTCTTATCATCATCATTATTAGTGTTGTGCTATTGCTGTTATCACATTTCTTGTTTTATTGTTTTTACCATTACTAAGTGACTATTTATGCCATTTGCCCCACATAGGTAGGGTATCGGAGCCAGTGACCAGTGAAGCTCTCCAAACCCACATTCTACTCCACGTCCTTCTATAAAGCAACTCTCAGTCTGACCATCCAAGCCTAGACGCCAGATAACAAGGACATGATTCTAAAGTAACAAATTCTCTTGCAGGTACAAGGGCGCTTGGTGGTACACGAAATGTCACTCGACGAATCTCAACGGCGTGTACTACAGGGGACACCACGAGTCATATGCAGATGGCATTAACTGGGTTAACTGGCACGGACACCATTACTCCTTGAAGACAGTGACCATGAAGATCAAACCAAGATTCTAAAAGATGGTCGACCTAAATGTTCTACATCTAAAGATTCTGAAATACCATAGAAATGTTCACGTTCGGGAGAGAGGAAAAAAATCTGGCGATGGAGATAACTGAAGGAAATTCTATTTTTGTGTGTATCTTTTAAATGTTTCTTTTAGATCTTTTAGTGCTAGTGGTTGTTCAATAAGTTAGAAGAGTTGGTAGATTTTTATTAGAAGTTTCTAACTAACAGTTCTTGTCAAGATCCTAAAGAATCATACTATAAAGTTGCTTAAATCATCTTATTGCGCTGGTTTGATTAAAGACACTAAACCCTTTACGCAATATGTTATAGCATAAAGAAGAAAAAATCTGAGACCTGAAAAAAGTTGTAGTGGAAGTAATAACTATGGCTTTAATGAATGATAAACATTTATTAATCTTTCCTCCTTCATCCTAGATTTCTCTTATACACTCTCCCGTTCTCTATTCTCTCTTACTCTTTATTCGAACGTAACAATCCTCCTCCATTTTTAAGTCTGTTATTGAATATCAACATCTAAAAACATCATTTTCCTTCTCCTAGAGAAAACTTGGCATTGCATTTACTGCCGCTTGCTTGTCTTATGGTGTCTGTTTTTTGTTTTTTTGTTTTTTTCTACGATACTTGAGGCTCAAAACACCGATGAAAACTAAAACTGGTTCATTGGAGATCAGCATGAAGAAAATAAATGGCAATCCTTCATTTTCCTCATTCTTTTACAGAGGTGATATGCTACACGGCAATGTAAACTAAACATGATCTATATTTCACTTGGCGTAACACATCACACAAAAGCCAGTGTATATAACGTCACATAATTATCACATTATAATACGGTAATACTGTCATCACAACCCGTATGTAATGGCATCACAACATGGCTCATTGTCATTATCATATTCCCGCAGCTCACGTCAATATCACATAACCACACTAATAATGATACAAAAAACAGAGAGATATCAAGTATGTTGCTTCATTCGACGCAACACAATTTTGGAAATTGACCTAAACCTTAGAAAAAAAAAATACAAACAAATATAAAAAA